TTATATACCATGAGCCCAGGCCCCAAGGGGTTCAGGGTTTGGGGTTCAGGGTTCAGGGTTTAGGTTTTAGGTTTTAGGGTTTAGGGTTTAGGGTTTAGGGTTTAGGTTTTAGGGTTTAGAGTTTAGGGTTTAGTAAGGGTTCAGGGTTTAGGGTACAGGTGCCTCTTGAAACTTTAAAGGACCCTTTTGCCTGAAAGTACATTTTCTCTCCTGATTGTACCTATTCTTACGGCTTGGTGGGCCTACGTTTTAAGGCTTCTGGGCCCAAAGCCATATGTACTAAGTGAGCCTTTTGGGCTACTTTGAGCCTTCAGGTAATCTTAATATCACCCTACATCCCAAACCTTTGTCTGAGATAGATAGATAGAGAGATAGATAGACGTACACGGACACAGCTTTTCGAAACCATCAGTCCGAAATCCTTTAAAGCGCGTGGCCGTTGACCCTACGTCCTAAACCCTAAACGTTTAAACTCTAAACCCTGAATCCGTTCTCCGAAGCTTCGCTACAGCTTAAGCCTTCAACATTCCGCAAGAAAGCCCGAAACAGTTCCCCCAACTTACTCCTACACCCTAAACCTTCAGCCCTAATGCCTACTGTAAGCCCAGTTTGCTGCAAAAAACAACAGCAAATGTCCGTATGCTCAGCCTAATTCCTCGCATTGCCTTAAACACTAAGCCCTAAACCCTATAACTTAAACTACCATCGCCTATATCTTGTGAGTGCCTGGTGGTGGTCTCATCAAACCCTGGCATAGTATTTAATCATGTTGGCCCTAGCAAAGCATCACTTTTTATGTGGTAGTTGAAGCCTCTGTAAACCCTAAACCCTAAACCCTAAACCCTAAACCCTAAACCCTAAACCGTGGATCTGAGCCTGTCCCTCAAGCCCTAAGCCCTCGTCCCTGCTGTAAGCTCCGAGCTTAGGCCTCTTTAGGGTTTAGGGTTTAGGGTTTAGGGTTTAGGGCTAAATCCTAAACCGTAAACCCTAAACCCTAAACCCCAAGTAAACTCCAAGCTTAGAGCTTCGTACCCCTTAACTTAGTTCCCCAATACCCAACCTTTAAAAATTTTCCGGCTCTTACAATTTAGTAGCAATCAGTCTGAAAGTTTAACCTTTTATTTCCGCTGGTTTAGTGGGGCAGTAAATATTTAGATCCTTTAGAAGGAACCCTCGACACCCTACAAGCTACAATCCCTGAACAAGAAGCCTGAAGCTTAGTTCCCCAACACCCAACCTTTAAACTTTGTGGGTTCTAATAGGAATCTGAAAGTTTGGCCCTTTATTTCCCTGGCTTATCGGGGAAGTACTTAGATCCTTTAGACGGAACCCTAAAAGCCGCAAAAGCTCCAGTCCCTGAGCCCCAAAAACGCTTTAAGAAGCCTTTTATAGAACCCCTGTAGAGAAGGAACCCTAAAAGCTCTGATGTAAGAAACTGACGAAGAAATCCTGTCCTAGAGGCCTACGACAGGGAGTGGCAGCTCTTGGCCGACTGGTTCCTGGCCCGTCGCCTGGGCAAAGGCCACGCACAAGCGCGCGCCCTTGCAGTCTGAACATATCCGCTGGCAGACCCGTGCCTGTACGAGATGTTCGAAGAGGCGGGTCTTAAGACGATTTCTTGGCGCCAGCTAGTCGTTTTCAGGCCTTGGGCGCACCGCCGCCAAAAAAGCGGTGCCACTGCGAAGCCTGGCGTCTGCTAGCAGATGGACACTGGGCGATCTACCAAGAAGAAATCCTTGGATCTGGTGCAAGGAGTTTTCAGCAGCCATCGGGACGAGCCATTGACCGTCGTTGGCTTTTATCCTACAAAGACGTCATGGTCTGGCGATTTCAAAACTGATTCTGGATATGGCGGTCAGGCCAATTTATCCGCAACCCTCCTCTGACTTTGCAGGAGACTCTTTGCTTCAAGGCAGTGCTGAAGTAGTGCTGAAGTGCCAAAGTGTGGCCGAGTCGCTGCGAGCAGCAGCGACTCGGCTATGGCTTGGGACGCGGGGTCTTTACCCCGAGTGCTGGGGTTTTTTGGATGGCCTTTGCTGCGAGAACTCCACTTTGGTGGCGGGCGAGTGCACAGCGAGCTTCCCTACAAGATGAAGATGTCAGACAGATTATGCCGCAGAATATTAGGATTCATTGACGGAGCCCGAAAATAAAGACCCATGGTCTCTAAACCCTGAACCCTACACCATAAAGTAGACGCCAGAAAGTTGGAACATGGTTATCCTGTTGCCCTTTAGGACAATGATACGGGATCCTAGCACAAAGCATCCTGAAACCATGTTCCAACTTGCCGGGGTTCAGGATAAGCCCTAAACCCTAAGCTCTAAAACCCTAAACCCTAGACTCTAAAACCCAAAGCCCTAAAACCCTAAACCCTAAAGCCCGAAACCCGAAACTCTAAAACCCTAAACCCTAAACCCTAAAACCCTAACTCCTAAACCCTGAAACCCGAAACCTAAAACCCTAAAACCCTCACTCCTAAACCATGCAACCCTGAAACCCTAAACCCCAAACCCTAAAACCCAAACTCCTAAACCCTGAAACCCTGAAACCCTAAACCCCAGAAGCCCTAAACCCTAAAAACCCCAAACCCTAAAACCCAAAACCCTAAAACCCTAAAACCCTGAAACCCTCAAACCCTAAACCCTGAAGCCCTAAAACCTAAGCCCTAAACCCTACAACCCTAAACCCTAAAACCCTAAAACCATAAAACCCTAAAACCTTGAAACCCTGAAACCCTCAAACCCTCAAACCCTAAACCCTAAAACCCTAAAGCTCTAAACCCTAAAACCCTAAACTCTGGAGCCACAAAACCCTCAAACCCTAAACCCTAAAACCCTAAGCCCTAAACCCTAAAACCCTTAAACCCCAAACCCTAAACCCTAAAACCCTGAAGCCCTAAACCCATGAATCCCTAAACCCTAAAGACCCCAAACCCTAAAACCATAAAACCCTAAAACCTTGAAACCCTGAAACCCTCAAACCCTCAAACCCTAAACCCTAAAACCCTAAAGCTCTAAACCCTAGAACCCTAAACTCTGGAGCCACAAAACCCTCAAACCCTAAACCCTAAAACCCTAAGCCCTAAACCCTAAAACCCTAAGCCCTGAAGCCCTAAAACCCAAAACCCCTCAAACCCTTTCCACCGAGGCCCTAAAACCCAAAACCCTTCAAATCCTTTCCACCGAGGCCCTAAAACCCAAAACCCTAAACCCTAAACCCTAAACCCTAAACCCGAAACCCTTTCAACCGAGGCTTGGGCTCACCGGAAGCTTACCTTTCTGCTGCCTTAGCCCGGGAGATTCTCCGTTACGCCTGCTGCCAAGAGCCGGAGGAAGAGCAGCTTCTTGGCGAGGCTTTAGGACCCCTTTGGGCATCCCCAAACCCTAAGGCAAAGGGTTTAGGGTTTAGGGTTTAGGGGGTAGATGAAGGGTTTAAGGTTAGGGTTTGGGGTTTAGGAGTTCTAAGGGTTTTGTCTAGGACATTGTCAGGTGGGTAGTTACCGCGATAGGAGCCTTATAGAAGGTCTATATATCTTCTGGAAGCCTTATAGAAGCCCTATATACCCTAAACTCCCCACCTGTAGTTTCCTGTCATCTTGGCGAGGTTTTAGGACACCTTTGGGCTTCCCCCAACCCCAGACCCTCCTAGCATTTAGGGCTTTGAGTTTCGGATTGAGGATTCAGTATTTAGGGTTTGTGATTTAGGGTTGGGTTTTAAGTGTTTAGGTCAAGGGTGCCGCAGTTCTCTTGTAATGAACTTTGGGTTCAGGGTGAAGGGTTGAGGGTTTCGAAAAGTCGAAGATTTTATACGCTTTCCTGGGCTTAGAGGGTTTTTGTTTGCGGTTTGGGTTTGAGGGGTGAGGCTCCTGCTTAAGTGAGGCTACTTGGAGGGTCGGTGGACTTAGTAAGTAGATATTAAGTAGAGCTATAAGTACCCGAAAAGGGATCCTAATTGGGGTTATGATACTTATACGTCTATAAAGTAACTAGTTACTAAGTCCCCCGACCCTCCAAGTATCTTAATCACAACTCTACTTCCAACCTCCCTGAAACGCCCCCTATGAGGCTTCGGGTCTGCCGAGTTGGATTTAAGGTTTAGGGTTTAGGGTTTAGAGGATTAGGGCTTGGGGTTTTGGGGTTTAGGGTTTGGGTTTTTAAGGTTTTAGGGTTTCGGGTTTTAGGGCTTAGGGGTTTCTATATAAGTTGTTTAACTTCTCGGGCAAACATCATTGGCTTGAAACCGAAAGTTCCCGGCTTGTTGGGTGAGTATACTTAATCTGGGGCTTGAATCTGAAAATTATACTAAAGTATACCCCCGTAAAAGGTGTTCTCGTTAAGGCTCCAATATTACTCGGTTCCCCATTAGTAAACCATCCCACACCCTAAACCCTATACCCTAAACCATCCCAAACCCTAAACCCTAAACCTCTAAAAAACGGTTCCCATTATAAGGCCCCAGTATTAGGCATTGAGCAACTGACGTGTTGTCCTTGACCCAAGCTTGAGCCACTCATGGGATTTGTGTTTGCACTCTCAGGTTTGCCATGTCTATAGATCCTCCAGTAGCTCCGCTTTGCCAGTTTGTGTAGTTTAGGAATGGGTTTGCCGCTCCCGGGTTACGTATGTTCGGTCATTGAGGTCTGCGACAGGTGAACTCTAGCAACCGAGCCACCCCAGACTGGCTCTACGAATCTGACCCAAAACGATAACCTTAAAACCCTAAACAATACTTAGTTCCCCAATACCCAACCTTTACACTTTTTGGGTTCTTAGAATTTAGTAGTAATCTAAAAGTTTAGCC